TGTATATTAGAAATAAAAACAAGAGATACCTTTACGATACTGCTTCACTTCAACACAAGCTATGATCAGAAGTGTTATCTTTTATTTTGTTTTCGTTCTTTTCAAGTAAATGCCATTGATTTCTTTTTCATTCTTCTAACATTTATCGGTTTTTATTTTATTTTAGTGTTACAGGTTTGATTTTCATTCTATTCTGCACGTTTAGTTATTGATTTGTTTCATCGATAGTTCAAGTGAAATCTCAAATATGCTGTGGAGTCTTCCAATATGATCGATGTTCGACGAATGGTGCCTGTGGCTGTATTCATATGACAGATGCTAGTGATATTAGGATTTGTGCCTTTCTCTGGGTGAGTTGGTTCTGAACTTGTGTCGTGTGAATATCCAAACAATATATGTCGTGAGCTTAATCACATTTGTGTCCGTCATTCTCGATGCTATTTACAACCTGTTTGTCATCCAATGTCGACGATTGATCAACGAATCTGTCCGTCGATCGCAAGTAAGAAAATAAGGGTGTGGGTGTGGGTGATGAGCTTCTCTCGACTCACACCTACACCCAAAAATTCCAAAGCCAGAACATGAATTAGATACTATACTCGATGACAGATATACTGTTCTATTAAGACCTGTTATTCATGGAACTTTTCAAAAAAAAAAAATTCAAACGATCTATCAACAATTTCTATCTTCATTTTTAACCTTTATTTCTACTGTGAACACTTACTCTTGTACTATTTACATAAATTGACGTCAATTGGTTTCATCTATAAACTCTACATTTTATTTTGAAAAAAATTAGCACGAAAAACATTGTCGTTACTAGTTTGCATACTCTACGGTGCACATGCGACTCTTATGAATGAGCAATGTGAAGAATACAAATAATGCGTAAAAAGAAAAAGAATAACCGTCAAAGTAACTTAGGTAACTCGTATTGTTTCTATGCTATTCTTTTCTTTTTGCCTGCGGTACAAGCTTAAAAAAAACAACTCAAAATAAATGCAAATATTGTAATCATCATTCAGAACTGTCATAACTGCTGTTGAGTTGTTATTATTTTACAGTCCATCAAAACATTATAGCCTAAAAATGGGTTGTGTTGGTGCTGTAATGTCATCATATACACAGGAAGAACTTGATGCTGAACTTGCAGCTTTTGTACCTCGATTACCCGTAGCCGTACTTATGAGTGGTGGTATTATCAAACTTAAAGGTGTAAATGGATTTTTCAATCCGAATTCTCTTCTCGATCCAAGTTGGTTAAAAGGTAAAATGACAGCAGAAGAATTTTATCAAGCGATCGATTTAATTAACAAACGCACGGCTTATACTCAACTTGGTATGAGTAGAGTTTTTTTCGCAACTGAAAAACCATATCGTGATCAACTACGAACTCAAGCAGGTATGGCTGCAGTACAAGAAATCAATCAACGAAATCCATCTGTTCGTTTCACGTATCACGAAACAGTCGAAAATATGCAAATAAGTTTAGCATGGAGTAACGATCCGGCTGTGCGCCTTGGAACAAGAAACCAAGCTCACGTTGGTAATGCTACAGTAACTGTACTTTATATTTGTGTGAATTGATTTATGTGCGAATTGATTGACATTGAATGAATTTTTCTGTTTTGTTTTTTATAATATCCTAGCATCAAGATTTAGACGAATTGGTTCTGGTGACATAGTTTAAAATAAATGACTGAAATTTCAGTTTTTTTAGATTTATCAATACTAATAATGTGAAAATATGTCAACTCAGTTGCATCCCAAGCTTCTATACTTGTTTTTAGTGAATTTGTTCCCTATTCATTTTGGTGAATATCATATATACTTACTCAGCGAGTCTTGCCTATGTTTATTTTTAGTGAATTGTATCTATACTCATTTTTGTGAATATTATCTATGTAACTTTGGTGAATCTTGCCTATATTTACTTTGTTCAATATTATCTTTATTAATTTGTTGAACATTAACTAGACTTATTCTTGGTAAGTTTGCTTTTTAGTCATTTGATCAATTTTCTTTTTTTTTTATCTTATTGAATATCATGTATGTTAATTCAGTGAATCTCATCCATATTTGATTTGAGTGAATTTCTTCTATATTCATTTTGGTGTCAAAATCTATCAATATTACGAGAACTGTTTCTACCATCAATTGAATAATTAAGAAAAAGGAAAAATAGTTGTACTTCGACAACATCAATCGAAAAATGGAAACAATTAAATAAAGAAGGCGATAATATCACTGTACTACAAGATGATATTGATGTTCTAACTTTTGACGACAATGATAATGATGCTGATAAAGAAAATGATGATTTTGATAGTATATGATTTAATGATTAATGAATGAATTTATCTAATTTTTGTTCATATACATTTGTTATTTTTTGCTAATTTTGTGCCATAATTGTTATTGAAAATCAAAGAATACTATATAACGATACCTTAATGGATGAAAAAATTTTCGGGAACGCTATTTTTTACTAGTTATTCCCATTCCCGTATTCCCCGGTGCTAAAGTCTTATATATGGTTGTACTCCATGATAGAATACCCCAATCTGCTTTGTTTTGATTATTACTAAAAAACCTTTACTGTATCGAAATCAAATAATTGGTGTGATGACTAAACTATTAGATTTAAAATATTAGCTGTTCATCTCTGTTTAATATAAATTTATTCAGTAGGGTGTGGGTGTGGGTGTGGGTGTGTGGGTGCGTGGGTGTGGGTGTGGGTGTGGGTGTGGGTGGGTGTGGGTGTGGGTGTGGGTGTGGGTGTGGGTGGGGTGGGTATGTGTGGGTGTGGGTGTTCACTAAGGGACACTAACGCCCACACCCACACCCTGTTAGGTCTCTATAGAACCCTGTAGATTCCCCTGTAGAACCATATAGGACCACTATAGGGTCTCTATAGGACTACTATAGGGTATGAACTGGTTAATCAAAACTTTGATTATCAGAAATTTACTCTACAACCGCACTGTTGGCCCGAATGATTATTATATCAGTTAATAACTCAACAAGCTTTACAAATTGGCATGACTACAATTTAAAAGGAAATTTATCAGTTCTGAACGTTCTCTCATTAGCATCTTGTGTTGTTGAAAAGTGAGACTAGCAGAATTTCCTTGCTTCCTAATTTCTATAGGATCTGCTGAGGCAATCACCTTTTCAAGCATCACATCAAACTATACGTAGAGAAAAACACGGCAAAACGAGTCGATGGAGAATTAGATTTTGCGACAAATCCAAAAAATTATACCTCTGTACCTCTATAGAGTTATTGGACATAAAAGCTGTAATCCTGTCCTGCCAAGAAGTGTGTCGACTGAGATAATTTGAAGATTGTCCGCAAAAACATAGAATAGTCCGTGTGAAGCAGAGAGTGAAGATGACTTTATGGTAGAGGCTGGAAGTGCATGGTGGTAAAAAAATGTTATAAAAAGACTAAAGGAATTATGCACTCTGAAGGAAATTAAACCAGGAAACTTTCAATTTCTTGTTGACCATCTCAGTCCCGAGATTGTCACTTATGATCACAAGGGATAGGCCGGGAGTCCAGAAAAACTGATCATATGATTTCCCAATAATCCCTTAAGAATTCAAAATACAATCTTTATTTTTGCTTTCTGCACGTGACATTTTCCAGATATTTTATCCATTTCAACCCTATAACTGAATACATATCTTGGCTGAATATGTAACCAATGGGTCATGATGAACGCTGAACAAATGTAGAAGATAAATAATTATTGATTTCTATTTCACTATTTTTTTATGTTGAGAACTTTATTAAAAAATCACGTTAATCTCTTGCGAAAAATTTAGCGTCAAATTGTCATGTTTACAAGGGAAGATTTTATCGAATAAAATATCATTTGATCGGTTGACACTGTTCAAGATTTTATGAAACGCCCTACACCAAGAAGTGTTTCCATTAATCATGTTGTCTTTTCTTTATTTGTTTCGATAAGCTCTTAACTTGATTTTCCATCTTTTTCTTTTAGTCATACGGAAGTTGAAAGTTCTTCACATAGTTTTTTAATTTCTTTTACTCAAAAACTAATTGTTACACTTCATTTTTTTAAAAGAAGCTTGATTATATTTGTTTTCTGTTTCACATTCTGCCATCCTGCACTGAAAAAAAAAATATAATGATGATTGAAACAATAACATCTATGTTTTCTATTCAAAAAATGTATGAAGCAACAAAAAAATAACGTCAGTAGATGCAATCATTTGTTTTGTGCACGATCTTCTATATTATTGAAAAGAAAATTAGAAACATTGTTTGTGTTAAAGGACTCCTATGGTTTCAGAATATAGCCTTATTTTTCTATCTTCATGAGAAGAATTGCACGCATTCTATCATATATCTGAAGGAGAAAATTTCAAATACAAATAAATTAATCTTCTTAAATTAAAATATTTTTATTTATAAATTTCAGAGTTTATACAATCTGTTAATCTCTATGTTTTTTATATGTGAAAAAGAAAATCAAATTCGAATTGATGTAAATTTTTTTCATGTTATTTCTCATATACGAAGATTGAAATGTATTTCGACTTTCTATTATTAATCAAGCCATTTGTCTTACATAATCATGTTTTTTTTTGCATTTGTTCTCATTATTCTATAATTTTTTTGACTTTTTTTGTGTTATTATTCTCTCTAGATTAGACATGCAAGAAAAAATCTCATTGGAAGAAAAGCTTTTTTTTTTTCTATAAGCTACTTTTTCTTTATTTATCTATTTGAATAAAAAAAAAGTAGATTTACGCATCTATATATATATTCATTCTATTCTATTTAAACATAAAAGAACAGTAACAATGTCGTTCAATTATTCTTCAATTATTGATGAACAACTTTCTCGTGATGATCCATTATTTTGGAATCGTCCAACACCAGTTAATTGTAATACAATTCGAATTATGGGCATATTTTTATGTATTGCTGCATTTATTGGTATTATTTTTAATGGAACTCTATTGTATAGTTTTATACGATATAAAGGTCTTCGTTCACCACCAAATATATTTGTTATATTTATTGTTGGAATGGGTTTTTTTGCATCATGTACAATTCTTCCATTGACAGGTACATCTTCAATTTATTGTCAATGGTTATATAAACGTACAGGTTGTCAATTAAGTGCTATTGTGGCATTTTTATATGGATGTTCAAGTTCATATTTACTTTGTGGAGCAAGTCTTAGTCGATGTTATATTATTATTCGACCATTTCAAGCTAAATATATTACTGTAAGTAAATCATAATTGTTGATAAACAAAAACAAATATTTAAAACTTATCGTTAAAATGATTCTAGGTAAACAGATGTATTGTTATTTCAAGTATTGCAATATTTATTGCATTTATTTGGACTATGTTACCAGTAATTGGATGGAACGAATATACAATGGAAGTTAGTATTGATTATTTTAACGAATTTATTTCATATTCATTATGAAAATACAATGACTATCTATATTTTTTTTAGGGCGCTCGTACTTCTTGTTGTATTAATTGGTACGATCGACGTACTTCCTATATTTCATTTCTTTTTTTTCTTTTCATTGTTGTCTATTGCATTCCACTTATAATTCTCATTATTGCTAATACAATTACAATGTTTGGATTGAAACGAATGCGTGAAAAAATTGAAAATGGTATTCAAACAGTATTCAATCGAAAACGAATTGAAATGGAACGACGTATTCTTAAAAGTAAGTATTTATTATTATTATTAATTTTTTTATTTGTTATTCATTCAATTTTGATATAGGTATTATCATTACAACAAGTGGTTTTATTTTTACATGGACTCCTTATGCAATAATATTTTTTGTTTCGGCATTTCAAGGTAAAGATTATGCTATATCACCAATGGCTTCTTTCTTTTGTGCATGTTTTGCTAAAACATCAGTTATATGGATTCCAATGTTTTATGTTATGACATCGACACAATTTCAATTAAATTTTGTCAATCGAGATGCATTAGATCAATCAATAGGAACCAAACGAATAGATGCAACAGCATTTAATGCACCTATATTACCTCAAAAGAATGGTGAAATCATGATGATGAAACCTATTACTGAGAACATTAATGACATACAACCTATTGCTACTAAAATTGATTAATATTTTGTTCAGTATTTGTTTGTAATAAGTGAACATTAATGTGTTTTAATTTTTTGTCTTGATTTTTTTTCAAATCTAAATCTAAATACAAATCAATCAATGAAATAATACAGCAACATATTATAAGAACTAGCGTGAGATCGTACATACTGCACAGCTGTTTTCTCCTTTAACGTAAGAACACAACCACATCCTGAAATCTAACTCAACATGATTGTCAGACAAGTTAAAATGACTGCCACTTGTGAAGAATTCTCAAAGACAAATAGTTAATGTTCGCAACCAGATTCGACACGTCCCCATCGAATCTCAAAAGTGCCCAATAAATGCAGTTTATAGGTTCAACACTTCCAAGCAAAGATTTATTTCTATCCATGAACAATCGATGTTGAGCACCACGAGAGAGGAATTAAGTGATCGAAGCATCGATTGATATG